GGTGGGTCAGGATGGTTCCAACCTGATTAGTGAAGTGCTTTCTGGCAAGGCATAGGGAATTCAAGTCTATGGGGGTCCAGTGGCTGGGTTTGGGCAGACTAGTGAGGAGGTCTCAGGCAGGAAGATCAATAGGCCAAGACTGGGGCGGGGACAACACAGGGAAGGTCTAATTATCTAGTCAGAATAGATGGGCCCTGAAGCAGTTAACCTGGGTTAAGAATTCGGTTAACCTGGGTTCAGGGGTTCAGGACTCAGTGGGCAGCATCTGGGTTAGAAGGCTAGTCTCGTGGTCTGAGGCGGAAAGAGCAGGAGCAGGCCTAGGTCCAAGGCTGGAAGGGGAACAGTGTGGAAAGAGAGAATAGAACTGGTCAGTTTGGGTACAGGGGAATCAAGTTGCGGTGGACAGGGTCTGACTTACTAGAGTAGTATGCAGGCCTCTAACAGACAGATGGGGGGTGGAGGGGGCTATAGAAAATTTTTCCTATTCCTTAAGAATGTTTTTCTAGTTATGTGCATTCCAATTGAAAATTCTTATAGAGGTCAGGAAACTAGTTAGAGGCCAGGAAGGACTTCTTGGGAGGGGAGATAAAACCCAGTGCTATAAAGGGAGAAAGGGGACAATGAAACAGCAAGTGTTAAGTGAGGTAGAGAATGGGAGCACAGGCAGGGACAGGGGTATGGGAGGGACAATTAGCATTAGAGACCTTTAGAAAAAGTCAAATGGAGGTCTGGAGACATGGCTCGGGGGTTAAGAGCACTGACTGATTTTCCAGAGGACCTGGTTCAATTCCCAGTACCCATATGGTGGCTAACAACCACCCATAATTCCAGTTCCAGGAGATCTGATGCCCTCTTCTGACCTCCATAGGCACTGCACGACATGGGTGCAGTCACATGCATGTAGACAATACACTCATGTTCACAAAATAAAAATAATAAATGAGGCCAGGTCGGGCATGGTGGCACATGCCTTTAATCCCAGAACTTGGGAGGCAGAGGCAGATGGATTTCTGTGAGTTGGAGGCCAGTCTAGTCTACATAGTGAGTTCCAGGTCAGTCAGGGCTACAGGGAGATCCTGTCTCAAAAGACCAAAATAAAATAAATAAATAAATAAATAAATAAGTAAATAAATTTAAGCCTACTACTGTAGAAGCTTAAAAATGAATACATGTACATATATTAAAAGGAGTTTAAATGGAATTACCCTGTAATTGGGAATAATGTTCATATCAGATACCACAAACTAGCAAATCAAAAGCCCAATGCCAGGAATGGACTCCCTTTTTTGGAGTTATTGACTAGAAAGGCCCCATAGGCCCTCAAGTAATACTGGCTATTGCCATTGCTCTTAGTTGCCCTCCAAAATTTGATTATAAGAAGCTACTGCTGAAGACACTTCCTATGTGAGTTGTAGAACAAACATGGACAAATCAAGTTGGTGCTGACCTCAAAGCTTCATCTCCATTGCCTAGCTTTATAGTGCTAGAAGGTGCTATGCATGCTACTGAGGGAGAAAAGTAATCATCAGCCTTACCCAATTGTGAACTGGCCTGGCAATATATGCCCACAGGTATAATAGTAGCATGATTGTTACGGGAGTTACTGACCAATTTCTGACTGGATTTAAGATTTGCTTCATAAGATGGTACCCAGACCCAACACTGTTATCAGGGCCAAGAACCTGTGGCTAGATAGGTCACAGGTCATAAGGGAGAATCTAGTACTTTTATTCTGCTAAATGGGTATAGTATTAAATCAATTCCTAATGACTTATTGTTATATCCGTAGATTAGTACATCTCTCAGTTTTCATCAGAGAACCATCTTCTGGCAGCAGATGGCAATTAACACCTAAATCCACAACTGATCAAAGTGCATAAAATAAGAGACTATGGAGTGCTTGGCCCTAAATGGGACACCTATAACACACTCTTTCCTCCCAAAGCACAAGGATAATTGTGAAAGAAGGGACAGAAAAAATTTAAGAGCCAGAGATGATGGATGTGTACAGAAAACTGTTTTCCAGACACAATAGGGAAGTCACACATATGAACCCACAGTACTTATGACAGCAGGCACAAGACCTGTGTAAGCACATGCCACACAAAACCCAGCATGGATGGGGGAGGTGGGCAAGAAATCCAGCTCTAGCTGAGGAGCTATGGGCAACTGAGAGGGGGAATCAGTTTTCTTTGAGGGTTTGGTGATTGGTTGGTTGATCAGGCTCCAGGGAATTTACCTATACTCAAGAGCACTTGGGGAACACATATTAGACTCTATAGGCCTTATGAAAATAATAGAGGACGTGAAGTGGTGACAAGGTAAGGAAGGGGGTGGATTTGAAAGGGGATGGATTAGAGGTCTGAATATGATCAAAATGTATCGTAAGAAATTCTCAAAGAATCAATGAAAATATTATTTAAAAAAATTTAATGCATATAGTATAAAATTGGAATTCTATGAATGAGTCACCTACAGTTCTATGGTCAAAGTTAAGAGCAGGACCAAGAAAACAGGGAAAGGAGCTGTAACAGATTTGCAGGTCACATTTCTTAAGTCGGACATACACACTAGGTTTCCATTTTATGTATAAGACCTTAGACTTCATGTGCATAAGTCTCAAACAATACTAGACAGATATCATTAGTTTGTTGCTATAGACATGGAAACCAAGGCTAGAGGAGGCCAGACAACTCGACCGAATGTATGTCCTAGTATAACAGTTGAGCTTGGCAGGGTGCCCACCTTCAGTGGTTTCATTTATCTCTGAGCACTGCTTCCAGCTCATCTGTCCAATTTTTCCTCCTTGTGCCTCTCGGGTCTGTTAGGCACAGATCACCATTTATGGATATTTTCAGAAACGTGTCTTGCAATGTTGAGTGAAAGGCTGACAATACATGAATAATTCCACCAAATTTTGGGAAATCACTATTCTTTGTCAAATGTTACTTAAGGCCCAGACCAGTTTCAACACATTCAGTTTAAAATATCATTACCTCTAGTCTAGCACCAACTTTGTCCTCTACCATCTCCACATAGGAGTACAGGGTTATTGTCCCATACATGTCCCTGCTGAAGGACTCTAAGGAGAGCAAGCAAGTCATTCTTATGTTCATCCTTCCTTCCCTGAACCTGTGGCCTCTGTTCTCTGTTTTCTGGGGTCCAGGAGGAGAGAGAAAGAAAGGAGAACCTCTCTCACCCCACAGTGCTCTACTCACATGGCAGGAACACAGAAACAGATGTGTCTTGGGGTACAAGTGTAGGTCTTCAGAAGGCTCTGCCTCCACTTAAGTGTATGTGTGGTTGCCCACTGCTTGATATCTAGTGTGTATGATCTGACCCAGCTCCCCTGCTCCAAACTTGGAAGCTCACGATGCATCTTTTGCTTCTGCACTCTCTTGCCGGAGACCAGGCCCCCCAGAATAGTTTCTTTCTTCACTCAGTCTTCTCCAAGTTCCCCCATGACACTGCAAGGCAGTTCACTTGCCACTCTGTTTCTGTTATGCCATCTCTTTTCACTTCCTTTTTCTCCTGCTCAACAGCGTATGAAGATAGGCCAGTAAATCTATACCAAAAGAGAGGAACTGCTTCATTCTGTGAGAGAACTTCTCTAGAAGTTATCTTTCTTGGAGTGTTTGATTGGGTGTTGGGGGTGGTTGAGAGGAAGGGGAGATTACATTAACTGTCCTGTTCCCAGGCTTATAACTCCACTCAATTTCCTCCCTACATTAGCTGAGTGGACACATGGGGAGAGAAGCTGGGAGGCCAGTGTAGAGTGGGCAGGTCTGGCTGCTTCATCATCAGTCTGAGAAAACAGCTGACTCCACCGGTCTCCTTATTTCTGTGCTGTTCTTACTACACACCCAGCATTGTGCTCCATGCAGCATCTTCATGTCGAGTTATCTTCTCATAGATAAGAAAAAGATAAAAATAAATCAGACGAAGTTGAAGTTATACCTCTGTGGTAGAGCACTTGCCTAAAACGTATAAAGCCCTGAGTTTAATTCCTAGTACTGCAAACAACCAAACACAAACAGAGACCAAACCAACCAAACAAACAAACCTCAAAACCACAAACTAGACTGTGTGTCAAGATGAGCCAAATACAGCAGAGTAAAAACTAGAGGGAAGAGATTTTCCTTATTAGGTAGAGAAACAGGCAGCTGTATCAAGTTCATTTTTCTGCAGCTTAGAGACTATTGGGCAAGTCTGGGCAAAAGGAAATACACGGGCAACATGTGTGAACCCAATTACATGGAGACCAGGGGTTGTGTTTCAAAGCCCGTGTTCTATCTTGATTGCATCTGGCAATGTTTATAAGGTTTCACTGTACCAGCCTTTCTGGGACCCTGTTTGATACCATCCATGTTTCCAGAAATTGTCCTTGGGGGTCTGTAAAGAGTAAACTATGAGTAATATTTGTGGAATGCTTTAGCCCCTGTAGGAAAGGGGACCCTAAGGCTCAGTATATCAGAGGCTAGGTCTGCTGCTAGAAGCTGGAGGCAGAGCTCAGTTCCTCCTTAGTCCTGCACATGGGGCCTCAGGAAGCCAAAACCCCGGCAAAGTAGCAGCCTTTCCTTATCCAGGGGCTTGGGGAATGGATAGAGAACTTAACCATGATGACCACTTCTCTAACTGTGGCTCAGACCTCTGCTCAGGCCTGACTGGGTGTGGGCATCTCAAAAGTATAAGAACCTAGGTTGGCAAGAGACAAGAAAGTGGTTCCTGAGCTCGTGCAGTTTCATCCTGGCTTCAACCCTGCATAGATCAGGTTCTGATGCTTCTCGCCATGGCTACTACACTTGGACAGGGCTTGGGCCTGGGCTCTTTGCTGCCCACCCTTCTGCTGGCATTCACAGGTGAGGCCTGATCATAGAGGCCCTCAGAGCAGGCAGGGGAGCCCTTAGACATGGCCAAATCCAGCTACCTTGTGTTCCAGACAGGAGTCTGAAGCCCTGAGTACTTGTCTGGACTGATTTTGTATTTTTCCCTCATTACAGACCTTTTGGGAAAAGGGAGATTGTGGAAGCTTGAGGATCAGAGGAGGAACATGGAACACAGAGGTGAGAAGCTAGGAGGGAAGAGCCTGGCTTCTCTGATGCCAACTCTGGTCTGGGTGGCTACTAGGTCTGAGTAGAGGGTATGAAAGCATGGAAGACGGAGAGACAAATTCCCGTAAAGAGTCCTGAATTCAGTCAGATGATCTACTAATCCCTCCTTAGTCACTGACAGATTATTTAAATGACTGAGCGAGTCACTAAACCTCTCTGAGTCTTTGCTCTTCTGGAAAGTGGGGACAATACTACTAGAGCCTCTCACAGTTGTGTTGTAGGTAAAAATTGGCACCCATTCCTGGAAGTGTTTTATAAACCACCACATGCTGTGTGCTGGTCAAGGAGATGGGCCCATTGACTGGAGGTACCAAAGCTGTGGGATGAGAGGACAAATCACCTGAGCTGCCCTCTGCCACTTGTATTCCTGTGCTGTCATTGCAAGGTTACTTGTTTGTCTTCCCTTGGTCACTTGACATTGAACTCCTGTCACTAGGTCCCTAGCTTCTAACACAGTCTGAACACATCAAGGGTGCAGGCAAACGCAGCTTGACTTGGGTAAGCCATTGCCCTGAATCTCCAAAAAACTGTCTTCCAGAGACAGGGCAATCCTCATTATTTTAGGGGATAAGCCTGGATAGGACCCACATACTGTTGTATATTATATATATATATATATATATATATATATTTATATATATATATCTGACTCTGAGAAGACAGTCACAATTGCACTCTTTTGCAGCTGGGCAGCCTTTCATCTCTCTGAGGGGCCCAGATCAGAGGACAACGCCCCCACATTCTGTACCTTTCAACTGCACTGCTGACCCTTTCAACTCCAGTGACCTCAGTGTCAATTGGTTGAAGGACAGTGATGAACCTCTAGTCTCAGCCCTGCACCTGGTGCCTATCAACAATTACTCTTACTCTGTCACCAGCAAGGCATGGGTCTCAGATCACCTGTGAAGTCACCCATGGGGACCTTGATGAGCCCCTGCAAATGATCATCAATCTTTCCCAAGTGCTTCGAGGTGGGTGAGCAGGGCAGCAGGTGGCGGTGCCACCCTAAAAGTATGTTTTTTCCCCTAAAGCCCCATTTTATGAATGGGGTGTCGAACACCCCCCCAAGCCCACCAGGCTTGGGTCTTCAACAAAAAAGACACTCAGACAAAAGTCTGAAGTTGTACGAGGAATTTATTTTAAGGAAGGCAGGTACAGGTTGGGGAGTGATCTTCAGAAAGAACTCCTCCTGGGGTTTTCACAGCTCCTTTTTGTATGACTCGGAGTTGGGGGCTGCTAAGGTGATTTTTCTAACAGAAACAAAAAGGTAACTATGGATACAGCACGTAGCTGCATCTTTTGGTGCCGGCAGACTGAACCAAAACTAACTTTCTAGAAGACCTCATTTATTATGCAGGTACAGCCTGTCAGCTCTGACCACTGAAGCAGAGAGCTCAGAAACTCTTAAAGTGGCACGCTTCTAATTTCCAATGCTTATGTCAAGCATGGCTCCCGACAATGGGGAACTTAGATTGCTCATTTCCAGCTTTGAACACAGGTATATTGATTAAAAACAGGTTCCAGAGGCTGGTCATCTGGGTTTTATTCTTAGCTGTTTCATTTTATAAGTTGCATGATCTGGGGCACATGTCTAAATATTGTTCTCAGTTCCCCTAAAAGACTGGAATAAAACTAATATCTACTTTGTAAGTTTCCCCTGAAGATTAAACCAGTTGTTCCTTATAAAACATCCAGAACAATGCTTGGCATATAATAAAGTTGCTTGTGAATGTCTGATCTTGATATTAACTGACCCAAGCCTCCCCCTCCAAACATATTTGTTCTATTCACATCATTGCTAATGATTTTTTTTTTAATTTGAAGTATTTATTATTAGCTGGACCCGATGGTGCAGGCATGTAATTCCAGCTACTTGGGAGGCTTAGGCAGGAAGAGGTTTGTGATGGTTAAGAGCCTGGGCAACATCATGGGGAGAAAAAAAAGCAAAAAAGGGGACTGAAGATGTAGTTTAGTAGTAGAGAGCTTGCCTTATGTGCACATGAATTCCTGAGTTCTGGGAAATCTTCAGTACTGGGAAAAATATTCACTCAATAAGTAATGAATATCCACTGTGTACCAGGTACTGCTATCTGCTGCCAATATAGCTGGAAACAAAATAAAGCCCCTATCCTCATGGGAAATTTACTTCTATAATTCTTTTTTTTTCTTTTTCTTTTTTCTTTTTTTGTCTTTGTGAGACAGGATCTCCCTGTATTCCCAGCTAGCCTGGAACTTGCCATGTAGACCAGGTTGGCCTCAATCTCACAAAGATCTGCCTGCCTCTGCCTCCTGAGTGCTATTTCAATAATTCTTACAAATACATTTCATGATTTGGAATATTTACTTTTTTGTGTGTCAGAGTTTCCCTGTAACCCCAGCTGGTCTGGAACTTGCTATGTAGACCAGGCTGGCCTCAATCTCAGAGATCCTCCTGCCTGTGACACCAGAATGCTGGGACTAAAGGTGTGTGCCACCACCCCTGGATAATAAGTTTTTGTAGGTTTTTAAAAAAAAATTTGGAACATTTTAAAGTCAGACTATACCAGATATTCGTGTACCTCTAGCTGTATTTAATGAATATTTACATTTAGCATCAAATGTACAAGAAAAATTGTTTGTATAAAAAGAGAGTGAGATTCTGGACATAAGACCGCTGTACTATGAACCCACAGCAGCTGCAGAACCACACAAGATCAACCTAGTCAACATTCCAGCATGAAGCAGGGAGGAGCTCATTAAACTACCCTACAACTCCTAGCTAAGGAATTATTGACAGTTGCTGATTTCTGGGGGGAAGGAAAGTCAGTTTTCTTAAAGAGTGTGTCCTCTGGTAGGTTGACCACACTCCAGTGGCTGGCCCCATACCCATAAGTATATATAGGCAGCACAAATTGGACTCAATAGGTTATTAACAAAAAAAGATGGGCTGTAGAGTTGGTCAGTGGTTAAGAACACTTTCTGCTCTTGCAGAAGACCTAATTTTTGATCTTTTAAAAAAATTTTTACAAAAACTTTGAGAATTTTATACATGCATATAAGGCATCTTGATCAAATCCATGCCCACTCCCTCCCCTCCAACATTCCCCCCTCTGAAGAGGTAACCCTAAAATCTTTTAAAGATTAGATACAAGCTCCCAAATACTTTTGACATTTTTGGTCTTTGGAACAGAGTATGTTGCTAACTCAACCCAAGGATATTTTGATTTTTAGCCAAGAAACTGGCTATATTTATTTGGGGTCTTTTTGCCCTAACTGCCTACCCAATTCCTACCTCCTATTCTTATCATGCCATCCTCTGAAGGGGTTACCAAAATTGCCAG